TCCATGACACATTGGTCAGAATAACACTGGCCACGTCGACGCCATATTCTGGTTCTGCCATCTGCAGTTGATACGCAATACTGACTCTCATCTGTGAACAGAACAGTTCTCCATTGCCTGTGTCGCCAGTTCTGGTGTTGTTGGGCAAACTGTAGACGTTCACGTCGATGGCGAGGGGCGAGGATCGGTCCACGGTAAGGTCTACGGCAACGGATGTTCTCTCTGGTGAGACGTCGGTGCACTGTATCGGTACTGATGGGTCTTCCGAGTGTTCCCACTGTCTGACGTGCTCTCAGATGCCTGTGTGGAGGGATTCTGCACGTGCTGTCGCACAACATGGCGGTCTTGTCGCCTTGTGGTAACCCTTGGTCTACCAGTTCGAAAGCGATCATCCGTGTTGTTAGTGGCCCGAAAGCGTTGCTGAAGTCTGTAGATGGCCTGAATATTAACCTGGAAGTGATTGGCAACGGCTTGGGCAGTCTTCCAAGCGCCTGGTTCCTCTGAGCTGTCGTGAGTCGTGGCATGCTGGTGACGCTGTAGTGTGAATGATTCAACCAGGTATAGGGGTGCATTTTATAGGGCTGGTCCCGGTGAACAGCACGTGCAGCATGAGTTCCATGAAAATCATGGAGAACACATTACCATCTCAGAAGTCAGGTTGCGTTTTTGAGAACATTTCCTGGGTTCAATTCTGTTTTTGGGAAGGGGCCTTATTGCTCAGGTAAAGTTGGAGATGTGGTCACAAATATACAATAAAAATATTTGGCAAGTTTTATGCAATGCGTCTATTCAAAGTAACATACCACCTGACGTTTCTTTTGCTGCTTAGTATAGTATACTTATATGTAGTTCAACCGCCATGCTAATAAATTGGTAATATTTAATTCAGATGTCCCAGGCCTTGCAATTACAGAGAGAATCGTACATTTTTAGGGTAACCTCTGATTGACATCATTATTGAAAATGTACGATTCTCTCCGTAATTGCAAGGCCTGAGACATCTGAATTAAATATTACCAATTTATTAACCTGGCGGTTGAACTACATATAAGTATACTATACTAAGCAGCAAAAGAAACGTCAGGTTGGTATGTTACTCTGAATAGACGCATTGCATAAAACTTGCCAAATGTTTTTATTGTATATTTGTGACCACATCTCCAACTTTACCTGAGCAAATTGAACCCAGGAAATGTTCTCAAAAACGCAACCTGACTTCTGAGATGGTAATGTTTTCTCTATGATTTTCATGTAACTCATGCTGCAGCACGTGCTGTTCACCGGGACCAGCCCTGTAAAATGCACCCCATACCTGGTTGAATCATTCACACTACAACGTCACCAGCGTGCCACGACTTAAGACAGCTGAGAGGCGCTTGAAAGACTGCCGAAGTCGTTGCCAATCACTTCAAAGTCAATGTTCAGACAATCTACAGGCTTCAGCAACGCTTTCGGGCCACTAACACCACGGATGATCGCCCCCGAACTGGTAGACCAAGGGTTACCACAAGGCGACAAGACCGCCATGTTGTGCGACAGCACGTGCAGAATCCCTTCACACGGGCATCTGAGAGCACGTCAGACTGTGGGAACACACGGAAAACCCATCAAGTACCGATACAGTGCACCGACGTCTCACCAGAGAGAACATCCGTTGCCGTAGACCTTACCGTGGAGCGATCCTCAACCCTCGCCATCGACGTGAACGTCTACAGTTTGCCCAACAACACCAGAACTGGCGACACAGGCAATGGAGAACTGTTCTGTTCACAGATGAGAGTCGGTATTGTGTATCAACTGCAGATGGCAGGACCAAAATATGGCGTCGACGTGGCCAGTGTTATTCTGGCCAATGTGTCATGGAACGAGAGTGATGGGGAGATCCAAGCATAATGGTTTGGGGTGGAATCGGCCTGAACCAGAGAGTGGGGCCTGTGGTGTTCCAAAATCTTGGTCCAGGGAGAGGAGGCGGCGTCACAGCAGTGCGCTACATCGATCAAGCTCTCACTTAATAACGTCGTACCGAGACTAAACACAGCCGATGGATTGCGCCAGGCTTTTCTGAGAGTGTGGTTCCATGTGCCAATGGCGTTCATCAATCGTCTGGTTCACTCAATGTACAGACGCTGCGCTGCTGTTATTGGCACTGGCAGTGGACACACCGGATACTGATGTATAGACTGTGTACATACTCTTAACCATCTCGTAATGTCTTGGAATTGCGATGAATTAATCACTAATGTGTCAACATACTGTTCACAAAAAATTGCTTTGATCCATTTAATAAGTCGTTTTCTAGAATGATTTGATTAAAATGCCTCTCTAATTTTGAAATCGCACTGACGTTTTTTGGGGTTTTTTTTGCTGTTAAGTATATATGTATTGAAACCATTAGCACAATGTAAGTTGAGAAGTAAGTGACGGAAAATATTAATAGATATTAATGTATGCATTTCAGTTGCCAACAAACTCTAACTACCCTTCTCGTTACATCCAACCTCAATTTCTAGCTGATGGCAACCATTACTTTATGACTGCCTATTATGTAAATCCATGTAAGTATATACACTTCACGTTTAAGACTTAATACATAAATAAATAAATAAGTAAAGGTAACCACCAAATCCCACCCCTATATGCTCTATTTGTTTAAACTCTTAATTTACCGGAATATTAACACTATACGTCTTCTTCTGACAGCAACTATTTGTTCTAAGGGAAGATCAAGCTCTCCGTTCAGCTCTCAGGGCACAGGTACAGATCTTTACATACAAAATGGAACAAACCCGTCTTTGTCTATAAAGATTACAAGTAAGCAGTCAGATTTGGGAACAACTAGAAACACGCAACTGTCCGACCTACATTTCAACCTAACCAACTCTCGATCCTTCCGCCTCAAAATCATGAATATTCACCAACGCCTGGTGGAAAATGTATATTCAAACCCTTTTCTTCGATTCTACACCAAAAGGTCAACAAAGATTGTCATGCAAAAGGGGGGAAATGGAAAGGGAGAGAAAGACTAAACATAACTTTGGTCCTTATGTCGAACAATATCAAAAACAGGAAAGCAATCGGTTTCATAGCGGTAATGCAAAGGCCGTCTCTTAACACTGTAAAAGCTGAATGACCTATAAGTTCACGGGCATTGTAGGTATATTTGTGACGTCACATAATACGGCCTTGATAGCACTTACGTTGTTTACATCGGGCGTAGTAGCACAAACTGATTCGGAAAGAATTGGTGCCCTTAACGCAAAGGCCTTCTTTTAACGCTGTAAAAGCTGACTAACCTGTAAGTTCAAGCGCATTATAGGTCTACGTGTGACGTCACATCATACGGCCTTGATAGCACTTACGTTGTTTACATCGGATGTAGTAGCACAAATAGGGAAATGTACTTTATCCAGATATATTTCCAACTTATTTTCTTTTTTAATAATTTAACACAAGCGGTTGCCATGCAAGATACGCCCACATTTTGCAAGAGATGGTCAGAGAACGAGCTAAAAAGGGCGATTTTTCGTACATCCTGCGGCCATAATCCAGGATGTTACAATATCAAAAGGAACCGAGATCTTTGGGGTATAAACATATATTTTAATTTGCATTAAATTCGGATCACAATTGCGACCTCTAAAAGGTCCATCAGCTAGAAACGTGAGGGGTCATAATCCTGGAAGTTACATCCCGATATGCGCTTATATAAAAAATAATCAGATAAAAATTGTGACCCGTCCACAACCTTGATATTAGATATTGTTACACTAATTGCCTACATAGCAGCGGCCATTTTGGCATAATGATGTAGCGGTGATATATTCGAACGGTTTTTAAAATCAAACAATCGGGAGCCATAACCCAGGAAGCTGCCGTTTGATATGCGCCAATATCGCAAATAAAAGAACCGAGATGGGTTATAAACATACATTTCAAGTTTCATCAAAAACGGATAAAAATTGTGACCTCTAGAGTGTCAGTTTCATTAAAATCTGATACACATTTTGAACCTCTAGCGTGTCCACGAGGTAAAATCGCGATTTTTTTGGACAATCCGGGGCCATAATCGAAACGAACCGCGAATTTGGGATATATACCTATATTTCAAGTTCGTCAGAATCGGATAAAAATTGTGACCTGAGAACGGATGAACGGAAAAAGTTGATACTGAGAGCTAATTGATTCGCCGATATCATCTCTTTCAGTGATAATAGCGGCCAAGCGAATATTTACTGCTGATCAGTTTGATGGAGAGAGAGAGAGAGAGAGAGAGAGAGAGAGAGAGAGAGATGGGTTTAACGTCCACTCAACACAAACTAGGTCATTTCGGGACTAGCATATGGTTTAATTTTATTTCAATAATTCGCTTGCGCGTAGGGGTCTTTAGCTGTGGGAGGAAACCGGAGGGAGGACCCGGAGAAAACCCACGAGGATGGACAGGCGACCTTATTCCTTGTCACGCTCAACCGGGGATTCGAAACCACGCCAATTGACTCAATGACATGACTTATGATACAGTTTGATGGGAAAGTATTAGCAACTCCTTAATAGAAAAACTGAGAAATTTCGGAAATTTTATCCAGTCAAAGTCAATATATTACGGTGTTCACAATCTTTAAGTAACTCATAACACTCCTTAATAATGCTGTATATCGAAATATTAAATCTGGATATATTCTTTCCTTATAACCAAAATGAACGGTTATGGTTCTTCCTGGTACCTATAACGAATAATTCCTACATTTTGAATTTAAAATATCACTTTTGAGAACTCTCTACTGATTTTAGACAGACGAAATGAAATTAATGACAATTTCCCTATACGCCCTACCACTTCACTTTGATAAAATGTTCCCTTCGTCATTATGTTATTTTCTTCGGCCATTTTGGAGCATCGTTGATGTAATTTCGAAAAAAAAAATTAATTGTAACTGTTTAGTTGACATTATCTTAAAGCTATATATGTTTACATTAACAAACAAACACTACTATTATGCTTCAAAAGTTTAATATATCTAACAGATATCACCAACGGGGTTACTAGTCAGGTATATATGCATAGTAGAAATAGTTCCAACTGACGCCAAACATGTTGGCACCTCTTCCATAAATGCCTGTAAAGAATATAAAGATCTTTAAATAGCTATGACATAAAGCCAATTTTAAAAAATGTTTACATTTTTAAAAGAGACAGAAAATGTTCAAAAGATAGACTGCATGTATATATTATATAAACATAAAATTTTAAAAAAAGTAAAATTAATCTCTAAGTAAAACCAAACATGTTGACTCGTCCAATCAATTCATATTGTCACGTTTAAATGGCAGTTTTAAAGAAACATCCAATTTCCTGGAAATCATACTTACAGTAAAGACATTTTTTGTAGGATGTTCATATCTGGGTGAACTTTGGTCGGTATTAAAAGCCCAACCAAATGCATTCAAATGGCCGTTATTGTACAATAAGAAAACTGGGAACATTCTCTGGCAGTCTGTATTTTTGCTCAATTCATACCAATAGTGAACGCCTGGAGGAAACGATAATAACGGTAGGCATTATCACCAAATAATTTCAGTTTAGTTTACGGCACAACCAATATTTTCTTTTGGTTGATATAACTAAATGGATTCAAAGAGATCAAATTAAATTATATGTTTGTAACAATGTAATGATTTTAAGATAAAGATTCTGTGAGGGTACCCTCTTGTTCTTATATTCTGGCAATGGTGTGTTGATTTTATTAGGTTTTGTACATAGGTTGTATTAATGATTTTTTCTAAATATATGCAAATACAAGAGGAAATAACTTACCCATAGTAGGGAAACATTTTCCCTTAACCCATCTCGTGTGTCCCATATCTGACTGCTTACTTGGAATCTTTATGGTCGTAGAAGGGTTTGTTCCATTTTGGATGTAAAGATCGGTACCTGTACCTTGAGTGCTGAACATTGCACTTGACCTTCCCTTAGAACAGATAGTTGCTGTCAGAAGAAAAAGAATCACTTCAAATATTCCATGATTTAAAACTTGAAGGGGTGGGGCTATTTATTTGGTGGTTGTCTCTTTTCATAATGCCACATTTCAGTGAGGGCGTATTATATTCGTTTGTAACTGACTTGTGAACGCTTTGTGGTCAAGAGAAGACGGAGCCTATCGATATTCAGCGTTCCGCGACTTTCTATCTCAAAGTTCTGCCCCTTTTCTTAAAACATTGTGAACGCATATAAAGCATAGTGGCCACGAAAGGATGAAATCTATTTATAGACCCTTCTTGGCCGAACACATTGCGATGATAGAGGTTACAGATTCCAATGGATTTTTTTCCAAATTCCACGCGAAGCATTGGGGCCGTGAGAGTTACCCCCTGTGCTGAAAAACTTGTGAAAGTTATAGAAGCTACAGTTTTTGTGTGAAGCAATAGGGTTATGGGAGAGTGAACCCTACTCATGTTCAGCGTTCCAGAGTTATGCCGCCTTTTCAAAAAAATTTGTGAACGTGATAGATGCTACATTTCTTAATGGGTTTGTTTTAGATCTGGTGAGGAGATGAACCCTGTAAATAATTAGCGTCCCACGATATTTCCCATAGTAGGGAAACATTTTTCCTTTTAAAACCCATCTAGTGTGTCCCATATCTGACTGCTTACATGGAATCCGTATGGTCGTAGAGGGGTTTGTTCCATTTTGGATTTAAAGATCGGTATCTGTACCTTGAGTGCTAAACATTGCACTTGACCTTAACTTCGAACAGATAATGGATTTGTTTTAGATCTGGTGAGGAAATGAACCCTGTAAATAATTAATGTCCCACAACCTTTCACCTTTCGTTCTGCAGTTACCCCTGACCCGCTGTTTCGAAAAGCTTGTGAACGCTTTAGAGATTACTGTTTTTAACATATTTTTTCAAGCTTATGAACACGATCGAGATCAGATTTATTAAATTTGGTCAACATCAAAGTTTTCATTTCAGATAAGCTGCTGTCGAGCTGTGCGTGCGTGGCTATTTTTTACTTATCCAGCATTATACGTGTCATATACTTACACGGATTTACATAATAGGCAGTCATAAAGTAATGGTTGCCATCAGCTACAAACGGAGGTTGAATGTTACGAGAAGGGTAGTTAGAGTTTGTTGGCAACTGAAATACATACATATCAATATATCTATTAATATTTCCCGTCACGTATCGACAATATACACTGTATATATATTTTAACCACATTCTGCTAATATTTGATTCAAACTTCCCAGAAATTGTAATTCGACAGAGAACCATAAGCTTTTCGCATGCTATATAGGCTGAAATGATATTTATATCCACCAAGCCACACAATTATCGTTTCTAATTTTTCATTTGAACTCCCTTAGGCTTAATCAAACCAATTAAACCAATGAAAAAGTAAATATTGTATGTATATTTTTTTCTTACACCGGCTTGTTGGCCAGCTATGTAGCCTTGATTATCAAATAACAGAACAACAGCATAATCTCCTCCTTTAATGTATCTGTTACCATTAAATTTACCTTTAAGATAAAAAAAAGACTATTTAATGTTATCTTTTTAATATACCAACTGTTTATACACATCAATATAGTTTTGACTGGGTGTTTTACTGGTTGATCTTTAAAGAATATCCAGCTAAACCCTGAATCAATATTATTTCAGTTGATTGTACATCCGTGTGTCTAATTCAATATCAAAAGATTTCCACACTCATATGAAAAATGCTTCCCTTAAGGGGTTCAAAAATAAGTCTGGGTTTTAATTGAATATTTTTTTTATCGGTCATTCTTTGACTGGTTTAGAAGAAGTTGAAAATGTAAAATGTTTTACTGTCTAATGGACATCATTTTAACAAATCTGAACTAGCACCATCTGGATAGCAATTACCTGCCAAGTTATGTTGAAATCCCAGTCGAATATATTGATTGTTACATGCGTTTTTATTGAGCACTGTTAAGGCTACTGTACACCTAATCATGCATAAATCTAATCTGATATATTTATATACTTATTTATGAATATATATATATATTTATGAATATATATATATATATATATATATATATATATATATATATATATATATATATATTGAACTGTATACTATACCATTGTTAGAACAATCAGTAGATATTTTAATGAATCCTGCTTTTGTAGCGTCGGCAACTGTTCTTGGTAACGTTGAAAAGTATTGTGAATTTAGAGGATTGACGCCCCAAGTCACTGGATAAAAAAACACAAACAGCCGATGTTATAACTACCAAACCAAAAATTATAATGTTCTATTAATATCAAGTTCATTTGCTTTAAATTTTGACTTGTGATTAAAGAAATATACTAGTATTCATCTCTAATCATTAATTTCTAATGTTATAAATAAGTTTATTTTATCTGACAAAAACTCGAATCTACCAAATAAATAATGTCTCGTCTTACCTTTCAAACCATCCCATTTTTCTGTAAGAAACGAAAGAAAATAGAAAAATTATTTAGTAAACGCATGACCGAATTTTGAGAATTCATATACATATACATATATATAATATTACCATACCATTTTAATACATTATGTAATATTAACAAACTCACTGGAATTTCCGAAGAAAAGTCCTTGGGTCACACTGACTGATACAACCAGAACAATGAGCGCTGACACAACTTTCATCATGGTATAAAATTGAACAAACTGATGAAATATCACTTCAATTTCTTTTAAATAGCTGAACTTAAGCCAAAACCATAGTCCATTAGATAAGAATTCACTACAGCATGCAGATTATTTGTACCATCTGTTTGTTCCCGGAATGATTTTCAAAAATAAATTCACCTGACTAAAACATTACGAGATTCACCATACATCTGCTCATAAATTCTGACCTATTCATGATAATTAGAGTTATTCCTAGTCATCCGAGAGTCAATATTTTGTATGTGTTTGGTTTGGGGTTCGTTTTCAGACTATGTAATTTTGTAATCTAAAAAAAAAACGTGTATTAAAACTGGAATTTTAGAAATGACATTATGACTCGACATTATAGAAGTAGTAGCCAGTGGTTTATCCTCTGTTTCCACAGTAGTGGTGTCGTAGCTACGAACTATGAGAAGTATAATTTTGCAATCTGTGACCAGAGATGGGTTTAGTAGGAATTCGTTGCCTCTAAAGGGACTATCCCGATTTGAACAGTCTCAAAAATAAAAGTCCGAGTACGTATGAAACTTAAGGTGTATTTACCCTGTCCCAAAATTTCAGCTCAAAATATTCAGTCGTTTGGACAGGAACGTCAAAACTGATTATCCGGACACGTAACCCTTTTAAGATTTCGGGTCATTTTTTTTCGTTTGGTGACCTGATAATCGATTCCCGTTCCTTCAGAGGTGAATGACCCATGTGCTGTATTTTTATCCAGACACCGCATAATACAGTTTTTTTGGACCCTGGTCCCCATTTCCAGATTAAGACTGACTGGTTTAAAGTAGCCAAGTCTCTAACTCAATATCATCCAAAATCTTCAACATTGAAAACACGATTTATTTGTCAAATTAAATCAACATTCATGTTGTGATCTTACCGGAAAAAGATGGGCTTTTGATATCCAATATTTAAGACAAAATAAACATTTTACCATTGGTACACGAATCGTGTACCATAATGCGCTTCAGCCCCAGTTGTATCAAGAGACTCGAGGGACGAGGCTAGACACATTGCACCAAATCAAACGGCGTATGTAGACTGGAATAACCAGACGCTAGAAATTTGCACTCGCTTGAGACTGCTGGCTTATTTCGCCGAACATAACTGATTTGAAATTGGAGTAAAAACGGAAACCATTGAATGTAAATCAGTTTATATACATTCATATTACAGTATTATATGCGTTGCGACCCACTTTTGTCAATTTCTAGGTCCCAAATGTTAGCGATTTAGCTCCTTTAAGTTGTTTGAAAACGTATCACATATATTGAGTTTGTTGCTCGGCCCTAAGGTAGAGGATATTAATAGAGTTTAACACAAAATTAAACTATGCCCCCCCCCCTCCCTCAATGACGTTAGTCATCATGCCTTGAATCAGTTCGAAGATCTGATACTGATGGCCACCCTTCAGGAAGAGTTGTTAATCTACATTATCCTCACCCGAGGGAGAGGGGATTTTACGGCTAAGCCTATTCTCCAATCTCATTCAGATATCCTGAATAAAAATATTGTTTAAGAAAAAAAGTCCTCACTGACGCATTCTTCCCCACATTCGATGACTCGTTACTTGCAGTTTCGTAAACGTTCATTCGTCCCCAGTTGCGATAGAAGTTTACATATATTTCGTCTGTGGTGACTTTGTGTTGATCTTGTCATCTCTATGTGAAACTTGACAATCTTTTCCGTTTTCTAATGATATATCCAATATATTGTTTCAGGTACGACAGTGTTATGTTTGGTAGCTATATTCTAAATTAGCTAGTGTCTCATTCAGGGCCGAAAGATCATTCCATGTAAACATGACGCCATTTATCAAGCTGAGCTGCAGAAAGGTTATTCTTTTTATCACTCTATATGTTGCAAGTCGAGGTTGGCCGGTGGTATAGGTAAGACCCATGGTATGGAGAGATCGTGTGTGTTTCGTGTTTGTTAATTACGAGATCAACCAGTTTCAGTTCATGGACTGTTTTCTTGATACCCTATCCGAAACTCTTTATCCTTGGATTCCTTTTGAATCTGCTGCTGTGTATGTTAACAAAGACAGCAGATCTGTCGCCTCGCTATGAACTCGGAAGGAAGTTTTTTCCTTCTAAGCGACAGTGGTAACTCTCCAGCTTCCTGTAGAAGTTCTTTCTCTGCTTAAATGCTGAAGATTGATAATTACCGTTTATAGCGCACAGGTTGGTATGTTGTAATTCCTGTGCTTTCTGAACTTGACATACGCTTTGTCTATTATTTATCCCAATGTCGTCTAGTGTTTATTTCCTGCTTCGCGGATGGTATCCCTTGTAACTTACTTCATTTTCAGAAAGTCTTGATGTTGGTGATTTTCTTCGACATTATGACGCTTGGATAATACGCTTGTGTCGTTGTGCTTTTGACACGCGGGCGACCACCACGGAGTTAGCAGAGTACGCATCGACTTGGGCATTATTAAATGTCAGCTAAATGGAAAGTTCTCCAATCTGCATCATTCATTTTCCAGTTGGGTTTCACATTATAGTGGCTACTCCTTGGGTGTTGATTTAATAGCAGATGATCACTGTTTTGTGTAACATCAATGTATACTTGTCATTCACAGCGGATTGCTATCGCCAGTTTGAAGAAAGTGGGGTCCAAATGTGCAGGACGGTCTGTCTATTCTACAAATTTGGGATTCCAATCATTCAGTACACATAGGTTGTCCCCATTGTTGAGCAGAGACTTACCCACTGACAGATGTTCGTCGATGAGTTCAACAAAGTGTGTTTTGCGTTGAAATCTCTACAAAGCATAACTTCACCCGGCGGGATCTGATCGATAAGCAACCGGTAGTCTTCTGTGCTATTTATTGGAGCGCCTGTGTGTGCCTACACGTTTACGATCGTTAGTTTTGTTTTATAGCTTAATGCAATACCAATGCCCAAGGAACAGCCAGTGAAACAAGGATTTAATTAGTGCTGGAGTATCTTTTCGTTGGCATTGGGGTGGATTATATGATCAGCCAACGGAGGCGACTGGCTCCGAAGGTCCCTAGCGACGTTGGGTTCCGGACTGTTTCCCAGAACATTTTGAAAATTACATCTCCGTAGATGAGATTTAAAGGACTTTCCTATGGGTTTAGATACAATCTGAAACCGATGATTTCGTTGTTCAAATCTGTCAATAAACAAATGAAATTGAGCTTACCGCCCGCGTGCACTAACTAGACTAAGGGGGACGGGCATACGCATTGAAGCGTGTTATGAGGGAGAATTTACCCAATAAAGATGGGGGCCTCTAATTGAAGAGTGGTGTTGCAATGGTTAATAACCCACCACACTCCTTACAAAAATGCCCCATAAAATATCCCACCACTAATTATGAGACAATAGCCATGCAACATAATTCACATAACAAGCTTCTTTCAAGCTTTCTGACTTGCGAAATTTGTTGATAACTGCCTCGAGATCTGAATCATCCATGGGCTTTAGGGGCCGCACCAGAGGTCTTCGTCAGCTGGAGAGCCCCCAGAGATTAAATGAAAAATTATTTCATAGTAGCTATATTTCAGATGGGTAGAGATATTCTTAATCTGACTCTTACTGGAACACGGGTGATTCGCGATTCACAGTAGAGCTGAAAAAGAACTCCCCCGCTACAGTTTGGTCCTCTCGATAGCCAATAAACAAACGCCCACAAGACAACCCCGCGGACAAATACATACATTGCAAGTGATAAACAACAAGCGTACATATATACTATATGTAAACTATATGTAAATCCTGATGGCAAAGTATATATTGAGGAATGTGGATATCAACAGGCTCCAACCATAACTAACGCTAACGAATATCCAGACGCCAGCGCACTGCACGTGCACCCAATGGCCAATGCGGTGCGTTGAACAAAAATAAGGAAACAACTGAGAACTTAGCCTGCGCATAACGGCACTGATGAATGATGGAGCGGCATAGGCGTACGAGCCAGGGGGGCAGGGGGGGGGGGGGGGCAGCTGCCCCCCTAACTTTCGGGCAAGCTGACTTTTCGGGCAGACGGGTAAAGTGAAAAAAAAATTTATTTCATCTACTTGGCAAAATAAAGTGCCCGAAATCTAATAAAACACTAGTTTTACGGGCTGGAATAGCAGTAAAACGCGTTTGCGGCCGTCAAATATTCAAAAAAAATTTCTTGGGGGGGGGGGGGGAGGGGCCTTACAAGGTCAGCTCCGCTTCGGGCAAGTTGACTTTTCGGGCAGACGGTTAAAGTGAAAAAAAAAATTTATTTCATCTACTTGGCAAAATAAAGTGCCCGAAATCTAATAAAACACTAATTTTACGGGCTGGAATAGCAGTAAAACGCGTTTGCGGCCGTCGAATATTCAAAAAAAATTTCTTGGGGGGGGGGGGGGCCTTACAAGGTCAGCTCCGCTTTTTTGCCTCTCGAAGAAAACCGGCGCCGCTGTCTATAAAACTGAAATTTTTTCGGGCATTTCTAGTTTTGCTTCCCTAACTGTCACCGAGCCCTAATAAAACACTAATTTTACTTATCTTTTAATTGAATAGCACGAATTTATACTGAGTTGACTATGGATTAAAACATTTTGTCTGGAGCAACTCTACTTTGTGCGACATTTTTCGGGCATCGATTTTTATTTGTGAATGCAGCTGCAACCGTCTGATTGAATGGTTGGAATTCAAAATGGGATTTAGGTTACAAAACCATTGGATACTGTTGGAGTTGCTTACACGGGCTAGAATATCAGAAAACGCATATGCGGTGGTTAAATTTTCAAAATTTTCTCTGGGAGGGTGAGGCCTCCAAACTCCGCGACGATTGATTGGTTGTTTGGAATTCGGGTCAGCCAGGTGGGCTATATTGGACCAAATTGAAGTTGCTGTATTCACAGGCTGGAATAGTAGGAAAACGCGTTTGCGGCAGTTAAATTTTCAAAATTTTCTGCTAACGGCCCCGTCTTCGTGGACTGTAAACGATTGATCTTTTGATTTGAATTCGAGTCAGCCATCTTAGTTAGGCTATAATAGACCACTTTGTTCAAGGACTGAAAT